ACATTTAACTTTTAAGTTTAACATTTAGTAAAAAAAAATAGTGCTGTGTAAAAACTATGAGCTGAATAACAATAAAATGTTAGTGGAAATTTTTTAACTAGGATATCACCCTCAGAAAGTGACCTAAACAATGAAAATGTGCCTTTTTTAAACATTTTATTTCACACTTGGCCCCTGGGCTTCATGAAAACAGTGAACAGGTGTAAGTGGGGCAGAACCAGGGAGTCTGACGATGGAAAAGTAATGAGGATAGTTTGAAACCGACCAGAGGAACAAACTGAACATGAAGAAAAAAACTAAACTAAACATCATAAGAAAGGAATGTTTGTTTATGTATCAGTTAAGATTTTTTTTTTTTACCGACAGCAGAAGACTGTTTCAAATCTTTGCATTTGTATTTAAAGCTCATTTACAAACTGACAAACCTCAACATTAAACATTAAAACAGTTTTGGAGAATCTAAAATGCAGTTTATAGATTAAACAAATTAAACCATTATATTTTTACTGATAAAAAGTAAAGTAAAAATGTACTACARTTGATTAATAGCTTCCAGTGGATTCCTTTGTCTCTGTGTTTCTAATGGATGCTCTTTGATAATATCTRTTACGTCACAGATAAGTAGATATTTGCTTCTCGGCTCTTTGTTTGGACTTGTGAGTTTGGCACTGATAAGATGTCTCTCTGATGTGATTATGTAGYGACATGTTTCAAAGCATCTGAAAAATGTATATTTAGTTTTCCCTGCCACTCTTTTGGGAAGAATAAAAAATAAAATAAAAAGARCAATCAGTRTCTGAGTCACAAAAGACTTGAACAAACTGAATGTTACTTTCCTGTTAGTTTTTGTAAGCCTCTCTATATTTTAATTTCCTTAACCTWTGCACAACTCAGACACAGAGGAGCAGATTTAGTCAAAGCTGCCTTTTGTGAGTTATCTCTTTATTTTTTTCTGTCTCAGAGTCATTTTCACAAAGCAAATAATGTTAATTATATGCTGGTGCAAACACGCCCATCGAGTTCAGCAGCTGTGAGCGATTTGACTCTTTTTGCGTCAGAAAACAATAGATCTTTGCTGTTCCTCGCTGCACCGTCTAAATATAACCATGTGTTAAAGACACAGTGACAGAAAGAAARCATTTTCTCGCAGTGAGCTCCAGGTTTGACATTCTTAGGACATCTGACTGCGTCATTGCTCAGGATGACATTTCTAAATCAGTAAGGAACATTTTAGGCATTGATSATCTCTGTTCTCTTTTATTTTACTTTTAAATGTGGAATAAGGATCATCCTGAAACACTGTGCTCAATATTTATCTCACAGTTGCCTCAATGATAATCTGTGTTAAAGGGGACATATGCAAAATCCACTTTTTTARCCGTWAAATATATTTTTATGYGCAGGAAGTCTCGAGTGCAGAAAAGTTTAATTTAGTCTYGTGCTGTAAATRTATCTTTATATTCTGTTTGGTTCATATTTTTCRACCTGTTCMKTTTTCTCTATTTATGATGTTTTCTGAATCTATTACGTCAAATTTTCTGCGACAAAACTTCCAAATAACGTCTGGACTTATCAASTACAATTTACTCGTCTTAATTCTCCTCTGGTTCTGGGTCAGACTCTGGCTCCAACATGAAAGTCTTCATGGACAAGTCTTCTGTTGTTGACATTTTTTAAATTAAATGGTAAATAGAGCATTTCTACGTTGCTAGAAAACATACCCCCACCCCCAAACCAGAGAGGATGGGTCTGGAAGCAGGCGGGGGGGTGGGCCTTAAAGGGGGTGGGCGGGCCTGCAACTGAAAATATGGATGGAGGACAACAGAGCGGCTTCATGGAAGAAGAACCTCAGCTTAGCCTGTTAGCCTTTGCACTGACGCTATATTGCCTAATATGTATTAGCTCAGCGCTAGTGCGACAAACAAGCTAAACTGTTGTCC